GAGACCAGGAATTCTATGCTCCTCAGGATAAGCAATGCAAAGAGATGAAAAAACAGCTAGCCATGGTTATATTCACTTAATCTTCAAGAAGTTCTCGGGTCATCAATTTTCTTAATATTTATGGATCTTCCCTTAAGACCCCGCAATATTGCTAAAATGCTTGGAACATTCCTGAAATGTTTGACATTTTCCATGATGATTACTTCTTGAAAGTTCCTCTGAACTTCTCTGATCATCTTTCAAGTACTTGGAACATTCCCGAAGTGCCTAAAAGTCTCAAAACTTGTCTAAAGTTCTGAGGACTTCCCTGAAGATCTCAGAACTTTTCTAAATTTTGTGGAGTTTTCCTGAGTTTTAGTTAATTTAATTGGACTGCACAGATGCTCTTTGATGTTCTCGAAGATACCTTGAAGTTCGCACAATTCTTACAACGCTTCTTCTTCTTCGCATTTCAAGCTTATTGCTTACCGCATATTAGCTTATTGCGTGCTCTCAACTTAGAGTTATAAATTGAGAGCTTTCGATGCCTGTACAATTTTTGCATTAGTATAATTTTGCATCCTAGATCGGACCGGGAATCGACACCAGCCACCTTCAGCTTGTTGTGTAGAAGCGCCTTTACCGGCTGAGCTAAGGGAGGCTCAAAATGCATTTCACTTGCAAATTTTCCTGAAAATTTCTGGAATACTGTAAAGTTTCCAAAATATGAATGAAATTTTCTATATTTCTCAGGAATGTTCTGTACTTCCCTGAAATTTCAAGAAACTTCCAAAAGTTTATCGAAACTTTCTTGGAATTCATGGAGCTGTACTGAATTTATCGAAACTAATTTTTACAGATCTCTAAACTGCCCCAAAAGTGTGAACTTGTTTGAAGATCTCTAGACTTACAGAACATCTGATTTTCATATACAGGGTGACTGGTGATTCGTGTTACACCCGAAAAGAGGTGAAAGTAGACCAAATTAGCAGCAAAAAATGTATGGAACGGTGGGTCGGGTGGGTACTTGGCTACTATGATCAAACCTTGACAACAATAACAAAGTCAAGTGAGAGGCTCAACTCAAAATTAAGTAAAAAGAACTCTAATTTGGGTAGTATTTTTTTCTTCGTGCACGGTCGTGTAACGTTTTTTATTGCTTATGAATACTCGAGTAAAATGATCTTTGATCAGTAGAAAATGAATTGCTCAATAACTCGCTACAAAATGGTGAGTTGACAACCTGGAAGGAGCGGAATACCTAGCTCTGGTCCTCACAAGTTCCTGCTTCACGCCTCCCCAAGTCATATGATAACAAAAGACTACCAGCTGAAACATAGACACAGCTGGGTGGCGTAGCCTGGGCGATGTTCCGAGTCCGGCAATAGCAAAGTAAAGAGGTGCGACGCGAACACTGGCGCGGTAACCATAGTACGGTGATAAATGAAATGCTTCACCAAAACCGAGCGGCTGTTCACCATGGAGGTGCAGCTCAAAACGGCATATGTTCTCCATGTTAGAAGCGGCTGATCACCGTCCTAGTGCCAGTGTGAGACTCTAAACAGAGCTGTTCAGTGCTGTGCCGGCGAGACCGGCCCCAGAGCAGGCCCAACAAGCCGCCCTGAAAAAAACATAAAGTTGCAAATACTGAAGAAAGAAATACGGATCGAAACAATCGGCACAGACCTACGCGACGAAATAAGGACTACGATTGGAAACTCGGAGCATGGAACTGCAAATCGCTTGGCTTCCCGGGCTGCGATAGGTAATCTATGACGAACGTCAACCATGCAACTTCGAAGTCGTAGCACTGCATGAACTTTGCTAGACGGGACAAAAGGTATGGAAAAGTGGGCATCGAGCGGCTACTTTCTACCAGAGCTGTGGCACCACCAACGAGCTGGAAACCGGCTTTGTAGTGCTGGGTAAGATGCGCCAACGCGTGATTGTTTGGCGGCCGATCAACGCGCGGATGTGCAAGTTGATGATTAAGGGCCGTTTCTTCAACTACAGCATCATCAACGTGCACTGCCCACACAAAGTAAGACCCGACGACGAGAAAGAAGCGTTCTATGCGCAGCTGGAGCAGGTGTACGACAGCTGTTCACAACGGGACGTCAAAATCGTCATCGGCGACATGAACACTCAGACGGGAGTCAATGAATAGACCGGCAATCGGGCCAAACAGCCTGCATGCCGTATCGAACGACAACGGCCAACGATGCGTGAACTTTGCAGCCGCTCGGGGTATGGTAGTTCGAAGTATCTATTTCCTCCACAAGGATATCCACAAAGCCACCTGACCAACACAAAGAAAACCAAATCGATCATGTTCTAATCGACGGGAAATTCTTCTCCGACGTTATCAAAGTCCGCACGTACCGCAGTGCGAACATAGATTCAGACCACTACCTAGTTGCAGTATGCATGCGCTCAAAACTCTCGACGGTGCATAACACCCGTCAAAGTCGAACGCCACGACCGAACATTGAACAACCACGGGACGCCGGAGTTGCCCAGGACTACGCGCAGCAGTTGGAAGTTGCACTACCCACGGAAGAGCAGCTTGGCGCAGCTTCTCTTGAAGATGGCTGGAGGGACATCCGTTCCGCCATAGGCAGTACTGCTGCAGCGGCACTAGGTACTGCAATCCCGGACCGAAGAAATGACTGGTTTGACGGCGAATGCCAATTGTTAGTAGAGTAGAAGAATGCAGCACGGGTGAGAAAGCGCGGAACAGACAAAACTCGGTTTTGCGAAGGAAGAAGCGTCAGCAGGAAGACCGAGATCGCGAGGCGATGGAAAATCTGTACCGCGTAAACGACACATGGAAGTTCTACGAGAAGCTAAATAGTTCGCGCAAAGGCTACGTGCCGCAAACCGTTATGTGCAAGGACTTGGACGGTAGCCTTCTCACGAACGAGTGTGAGATGATTGAGAGGTGGAAGCAGTACTATGACGAGCACCTCAACGGTGATGCAGCAGAAAACGTAGGTGGCACGGCAACAGACCTTGGAGCACGCGCAGAAGACGACAGGCTACCGGCCCCTGATCTTCAAGAAGTTGAGGAGGAGATCGGTCGGCTGAAGAACAACAAAGCAACTGGTGTAGATCAACTACCAAGTGAGCTATTAAAATACGGTGGTGAAGCACTGGCTAGAGCGCTGCACTGGGCAATTGCCAAGATTTGGGAGGAGGAGATATTACCGGAGGAATGGATGGAAGGTGTCGTATGCCCAATCTACAAAAAGGGCGACAAGTTGGATTGCTGCAACTACCGCGCGATCACACTGCTGAGTGCCGCCTACAATGTACTCTCCCAAATGCTATGCCGTCGCGTGTCACCATTTGCAAGAGAGTTCGTGTGGCAATACCAGGCAGAATTCATGGGTGCCCGCGCTAACACGGACCTAATTTTCGCGATTCCTAAACTGACGCGATTGGTCAAGGCGACGATGGATTGAGGGATGTGCGTTGTTCGAGTATCGGGGGCACTCTCGATTCCCTTTGAATCTCGAAGGGTGCTACGGCAAGGTGATAGACTTTCGTGTCTGCTATTCAACATCGCGTTAGAGGGTGTGATCAGAAGAGCAGGGATAGTCACGAGTGGCACGATCTTCAGAAAGTCCATCCAGCTTATTGGCTTCGCCGATGACATCGACATCATGGCACGGAACTTTGAGACGATGGCGGAAACGTACATCAGACTGAAGGCTGAAGCTAGGCGGATTGGCAATGTCTAGACAATGTTGGCCTCCCATCCTGAGTTCAGATTGACGGTGACGAAATCGAGGGGCAGGGAATGGCAGGGAATCGTGCCTACTTTGGACTCCGGAGGACGCTCCGGTCGAATAAAATTCGCCGCCACACGAAGTTGACTGTCTACAAGACGCTGATTAGACCGGTGGTCCTCTACGGCCACGAGACCTGGACTATGCTCGAGGAGGACCAACGCGCCCTTGGTGTTTTCGAACGGAAGGTGTTGCGTACCATCTACGGTGGAGTGCAGATGGATGACGGAACGTGGAGGAGGCGAATGAATCACGAATTACACCAGCTGCTGGGAGATCCATCCTCCGTCCACATTGCAAAAATTGGGTGACTACTGTGGGCTGGGCACGTCGTAAGAATGCCGCAAGTGACCCAACAGGAACAAGAAGAAGAGGCACGCAGCGGGCAAGGTGGATCGAACAAGCGGACCCTTCGCAGACTACGAGGCTGGCGAAGTGTGGCCAAGGATTGACTAGAGTGGAGACGACTTCTTCGGACAGCAGAGGAAAACAAGGCCTTAGCCTGATTGGTAAGGTTAGTCAATAACTCGATAAGGAATGATTTTTCGACCTACCTTGCTATAAAAATTTTTGCTCCAAATGTGGTCTACTTTCACCTCCTTTCGGGTGTAACACAAGTTATCAGTATAATATTTGTAAATTATGCGCTTGAGATTTATGAACCTGCTTGGATATATGTTGTTGCTATCGACATTGTTACAGTAGTAGTAGATCTAGTAGATCATTTGATCTAATCTCCCGCATGATGTGGAGAAGCTAGAACACCTGTTTTTCATATAACTGAAATGTAAGCCATGCACATGGGCTTTATGGACCTGCTTGGATTGTAACAGTCGTGGTTGATAGAGTACATAATATGACCTGTACTCCAGCATGTTTTGGATAAACTAGAACATCTGATTTGCATATAAATGAACTGATATTTATGCACATTATGGTCCATGGAGCCAAAACCAGTTTAGACACATTTCGCTGTTAGTAGTTCATTTCATCTGAACTCCAGCACAACTTGAAATGGGCTATCTGACTCCTCTGAAAATTAAAGAACCCCATATTCCAAACACATCTATAGCAGTCAATAAAGCCACCTTGAACATTCAATTGGTGAAAGAAATTCAATAATCCATCAAGTGACTCACGAGATAATCGCATCAGGGGTTAAGCGTCAATTCAATGGTTTCGTCCCTTCTAATCAACCGATTTCAAAGTTCGTTTTTTATTAGAAGAACTGATACCACAATCACTCTGTCAATTAAGAATCAAATTATAGCTCAATACCAACTATCTCAGGTAACATTATAGTTTTCAACTATCAATAATCGTACCTCGGTTGTATCTCATTGGTTACGATATCGCCTCTGCGCAAAGTTAGGTAACATAATAAGAATACATGATAAAACATCCGTCACACGATTTCTCGAAGATGGCCGATACAAATTTTGTGAAATTTTAGGGTAGCTGCTCAATACCCAAAACACCGTGGCTCGTTTCAGTGAAAACATGTATATTAACATAGCAACGTAAAAACCTCGAAAATTTGCTCGAACGCTTCTGTCAAAACGGAGAGGGTCCAAACTCGAAAGTAATTAGTTTTTGACCGAAACCAATCAGAAAAAAGTAAAATTCAGAGCTGGGCAGAACAAAAGTTGGATTTTTGCTGCACCGTGTCATCCATTCTGGCGAATGACCCTCTGGTAAGTGGCTTTCGAGTAAATGGCATACAACCATTTTCATTTGACTTTTGTTTGTCCAATTTAGAGCAGTTTCATTTTCAACTGTCAACTGCGATCGTCCTATTAAAAATTGTATAACTTATGAAGATTGTTAGTTGAGATTTGATGCCAGTTTTTCAAGGGCCCGTTTCCGGAGTCCCTAGAAGTTGTTCCTCCGTTCTATCAAAGCTACATTTTTTACAATTTGAAATGATATTTTATGAATAAACAACATGCCTAAACAACGTTCCAATAAATTCCTATCAATGTCGAGCATTGCCGGGAGATATTGTTCTCATTTCATGGTCACAACCTGTCACGATTCACCCACAACTCCGAACATGCTTAATAATGATTGGAATACCCAATCCTAATTCACAGACCAACTGGCAGCTCGCCGATAGCCTCTACCCTAAGCACAATAGAATTTCCACCGGGTGATCGATTATATTAGAGAGTGGCACGTGTTTGTTGGCTTCTTATAGTTTGTTCCAAATTACGACAACCTACAATAGACCGGCCACGGCGGCGACGGCGGTAGGAAATTATTTCACGTCCATTCGATTGCCATTATAACGGCCATTATTGCGGTCTAGTATAGCCTGGGTTGCGGATCGATTGACACAAAACTATAAGACCGTCATCGCCGGTCGAGAGTGACAAGACGACAATGACAACTATAGGTACCGTACAAAAGACCACGGAAAAAGTGAGATGTAAATCAACCCAGTTGCATTGTTGTTTGTGGTGTGCCGGGGGGTGGCTGTTGGGCGATGGGGAAGACGGGCGGACTCATTTCAACGAAAGTCTTTACAATTGAAATCAGTACAAAACAAATTATTATTTATGCGGCAGCTGAATGACTAATGAAGCGGCAATATGCTAAGCGGCTATCGGCGCACTGGCATGTTCAGTCCAAAGCTCGGGGGGAGAAAAACGAGTACAAAAATGTCACTCCAGATAGTGACTATCGTATACGGTGGAGACAGAAATTATTCATGGCACAGTTGGAGGAGGTAATTAAAATGGCACAAAAAAAAGCGCAGAGAGCGTAAGGAAATGCAAATGTTGCGCTTGGACGATGGTAGTTACTCTGGAGCTAAGAAGTTAAAAGATTTTCCTTTACTTTGGACATGCATTGAAAGCAAAGGAGCATCAGTTGAAAACAGTAGTTGACCCTGGTTTTCAAAGTAGTTGACTCAAAGATGAACTTTCGTTTTTGTTAAGGTAATGAAAAGAAAACGGTATAATTTCCTCTGCCTTTGTGATAATATGTGTTTTATGAAGGGTCTGATTTGAACTTGAAGACTATGAAGGTTAAGCGTTTAATTTTGAATCTGATCTGAGAAGAAATTTCACATTGTTGTAATGAATTTTCGCAACCTCCGGGTATTTTAAACTGTTTGGGATGAATTAATAAGAACAAAAAAAAAAGTTTAGCTAATCCATTGCTGAATTTATCACATTTCTCAACTACTGAAAAATCTACTACGATCTTATGTGTTTTACAAGCAAGAATTTAAAGGAATGATCTCCTAAATTTTTCAAATGAAGAGATGAAATTTTTTGTTTTCATTGATAGCGATAGCCTTATTGAAATATGAACATCACTTATTATTATCAATCGTATGCCTTCATGTTCAACTATCAATAATAACTACTTCAACTTCAAATCAGAGCTGTTTTCAAAATAAAATGTCAAATTATTCTTCTAAATACCTCAAACTGAATGAATGAATTCAACTTCGGCTCACTTTTAGAAAATCGATGAAGGGTAAATGTCCCTAACCTCGGTCAAATATGACGCCTCCAATTACATTTGTTGCCGTATCTTATGTAATAATTGAGCTGCAGTCGTTATTTCACTGTCAATATACAAGCTTAGATATTCTTATTATTTGGATATTAATTAGACACCGCTGAAAATTGTAAAACCATTTTAAAATGAAAACTTTCGAGGTACGTGGATGTAGTGTCGGTCTACTGTACTCAAATTGGGTCTATAAATGGATGCAACTACGTCCTATCGAAGATGAACCTCGATCTACAAAGGTTTGGCATGTGAAATCACGCTTCTTTGTCACTCCTTATCATTGATAAGTAGCGACATTGTTGACGTCACTTTCACTTCTCGCGTAAAAACTTATGAGTAAGAAAGAGACAGTGTTTTATTTCCGGTTGATCCAGATAAAATAAACCACGATGATTTTAGAATAAAAATAAAAGCCAAATAGATCATCTCACGACCACACATAAACCAAAATATCAAGTCAAGTGATAGCAAGCCGAACAATGCATTAGCTCCTAAGTAACATTGACAGATTATATTCGTAGATTTGCTCTTTACATCCCAACGGCCATGATAGACATTTCCAGCTATTTTCCAAACATAGTTCGATAAAATAAATCTAATACGGCAAAAAACAGATTTGTAGCCAAGTCGACGACTTAGCACCTAACGCATTTTTCGGCTTGACAGCTTTTCAAAGGGCCTACACGGCAAAAGAATCTGGATTCTTATATGGATCCCGTTCACTATTTTTCTAATCTAATCTAATCCAATCTAATACAAACGCAGCCAGTACGAGAAAGCATCCTGGAAAATGATTAGGTTAGATGAGGTCTAATCATTTTTCTTGTCTAATTGATGATTACAGCATATCTGAGATATGATATAAACATCAATATGGCCAGGCCTACTGCGTTGTATTTGCCGGAAAGATGATTCTTGGAAATGAATGGGAACATTTCTTGAATCTACAGGGGTGGAAGGATGCGTGGACATACCGTACCAAACGCTCCGAGTTACTATGTGTAGTAGTGTGTAATGTGTAAATATGTGTACAATATTGAAGAATCATAAAATAATGCAATGGAAGGATCTTACCGAATTTTCTCCTATGTTGGTAATGATTCTTTTGCGCTTGAAAGTTTCGTTGGATGCATCCGCTCCTTGTTTATCTTTGGATGTGGCTAGAAAACTCCATCCAGCATTTAATTAATTTAACGTCTATGAATTGATGGAAATTTAGATTGATTAGATAAAAGCAGATGAAAAGAACGGTTTCACGAAGTCAGTCCAAGCGAATCTGTAGAAAGCTGCCGTGCTATTTTTGGATAGGTATGGTGATCAGTTTAAAATAGTCCCGTCGTTAGCAGAACCTGTTTGAAGTATCTCGAATGGAGTGATCCTTTGGCTTGGGTATCAGGTTCAGCACTGTGAATTACAATTCTACGACGCGAATACTACGAATGATGGGATGTCGTGGTTCCGATGAAGGTTCATCTTCATTTTCGAAACCGTGTGTCAGTGGAAAACGCAGTGAAGTACAGCTAGTATGTCTTCGGAGATGGGATGCAGCTTCTTCTACATAGATGGTTCGATCCCTGTTGAAAAGGACAATCGTATTCTTGGCCATCGTCGGAAATTTTGACCGCAACCGAATATACATTTTAAAAAACTCCTTCGAAAAAAAACGAACGTTAAGTTCATTCACATGCACTGTACACAGCATATTTTACCACACGCGACATTATTGGAAACTTTTGCGGGAACTTACATTCAACGGCCCAAATGGGAAATTCTAATCGAAAATTCAATAAGTAGCAAAAAAGTAACAGCGAAATCAAAAACTTGGATCCCGTTCACTCAATTTAGCCAAAAATTGGTCAAGAGGTCAAGAAGGTCATGGAATGAGTAAATTTTTACTCAAATTTTAGTAAATCTCACTCATATATGAGTAAATGCCACTCAAATATGAGTGACATTTACTCATATTTGAGTAAAAATTTACTCATTATAAGAGCGACCTACACGGTAACCCAAAAATGACTACAAAGTAAGCATTTTGTACATTAAATGAGTAAAATTTTACCCATTTATTAGTAATTACAACTTCAAAAATCAGTAATAGGTATTAATTTATGAGTAACAAATACTCATATATTGGTATTTTTTTTTACTAATTTAATGCGTACTACCATCTTCTTCTTCTTCTCCGCGTTTCAAGCTTATTGCATATCGCATATTAGCTTATTGCGTGCTCTCAACTTAGTGTTCTAGATGCACTTCCACAGTTATTAATTGAGAGCTTTCGATGCCTGTACCATTGTGTGGCAAGTCCAATCATACGTACTACCAGTTCCCTCGAAAATGGATACTTTGTAGTCAATATTGGGTCTTTTATAGTCATTATTGTGTATTTTGCGGTTACCGTGTACGGTTTTCCGAATTTGAGCGAACGGTACTTAAATATGAGCCAGATCCATTTGCCGTGAAGTTTGTTTTGATGGCAGGATTGACTGCACGCTATTACTAAACAACACAATCGTTTCAACCCGTCCTTTTGACTACACGGTGTTTCGTGAAAACCCATTAATGGGTAAACAAATCCCATTTTCAAACCATGTATGCAGCTGCCAAAAAATGGGGGAATTTTGAAATCCTAAAATAGGTGAAAAAATACCCATTTAAAGAATCAGTTCACGGTTGAATAATGGGTATATTTTTTACCCACTAATGGGTGAAACAACACTTCGAAATTTTATCGTCTCATTTCCGTCGCCGGGAATGCAAACAGTAACTGTCCGCAGCATATTTATCGCAAATAGACGATCTCCGGAAAAGGTTAGAACCCAAAACATTGCGGATAAGTCAA